GCACTATGCCAGTTTGTAGTGATAAGTTAAAAAGATTAGCCAAAGGTATGCTAAGTTCCTCTTTACATTCCTTTAACACCCTTGCAAACAGTTCATCAGGGCCTGGGGATTTGTTAGGTTTTAGTTTCTCTATTTGTCTGAGGACCATGTCACTCGTACATAGTTTATTATCCTGTTCTACGTAATCTATTATTTCAGGAATATCGCTAGTATTTTCCTGGGTGAAAACAGAGAGGAAGTAGGTATTGAGAATTTCACACATATCCTTATCACTGTCAGTGATCTGACCAGAGTTACTCTTAAGTGGGCCAATCTTGTCCCTAATCTTACTTCCGTATACCTGAAAGAACCCTTTTGGGTTAGTCTTTGAATCCCTTGTGACCTTAGCCTCTTAATCCCTTTTTGCTTTTCTTATTCCTTTCTTTATTTCTCTCTTTAATTGAATATATTGATTTCTTAACTGCCCATCCTCTCTTTTGATACGCCTATATGTGCCTCTCTTTTGACCAGTGAGATGTTTTAATCTATTGTTCATCCATTTGGGATCATTTTTGTTAGATCTGATTTTCCTACTCAGAACAAAAGTAGTCTGGGGAGCTAGAACTATGCTCTGAAAAATGTCATATTGGCAACCAAAATCACCTACCTGACCCATAGTCAGGACATCCCAATTTAGCCCACCCAGGTAATTTTTCAGTCCCATGAAGTCGGCCAAGCGAAAATCTGGGACAGAGATTTGATTGCAGTTATCTGGGTAATTCCATGATATATTGAAACTAAGTGATTTGTGATCACTTTCCCCAAGCTCATCATTAACCTCAAAATTATAAATTAGTGAATCATTGTTGGCAAGAACCAAGGCAAGCAGATAGTTTCCTCTAGTTTGTTCTGTCACAACCTGTTCTAAGAAGCAATCCTGAACCGTATCAAGAAAGTCACTAGACTCAAGATTTCTTGTCATATTGTTCCAATAAATTTGTCCAAAGTTAAAATCTCCCATTATCACAACATTTTCATATCTAGTTGCCTTATGAATTTCATCCCATAACAGCTTACTGCACTCCCTATCAAAGTTTGGGGGCCTATAAATCACACCCAAAATTAATTTATCACGTCCCTCGAGAAACTGTAGCCAAACAGATTCTGTGTTCGATGTTTCTAATCTTATATCATGTCTAAGACAGCAATTTAAATTTTCTCTGACATCGCCACTCCACCACTCTTCCTGTTGACCCTATCAGTGTGGAATAGTTTATAACCCTGTATGTTGCATTCAGAAGGCATTGTACTATCTTTCAGGTTGAACTAGGTCTATGTTATACCAATAATATCTATATTACCTGCACTTGCAAGTAATCTTAGCTCATCTATCTTATTTCTTAGACTCCTACTATTTGTATAGTAAACCTTATTGGAGCTAGTCACTCGTTGCCCTCTACTATCTTTCTTTGTTTGTTGATCAGTTGATTTTCCATTACTAGCAACTTTATTTTGAATATTGTCTTTTAAACATATCCCTGAGGTATCCCGGTAATAACTGCTGTTTTTAACCCTAATGCTGCAGCCTGATTGTTTCCCACAAACACTCATACCTTTATAATCTATTAGTTTAAATTCCTACACAAGTCATCAATTACCCTCTCAATTGAATTGGCTAATGCAACCACTCCATCCCCAGAGAGATAAGATAAGATAAGATTTCGTTCGGATTTTTAACCCCGGAGGGTTAGCCACCCAGGATAACCCAAGAAAGTCAGTGCGTCATCGAGGACTGTCTAACTTATTTCCATTGGGGTCCTTTATCTTGTCCCCCAGGATGCGACCCACACCAGTCGACTAACACCCAGGTACCTATTTGCTGCTAGGTGAACAGGACAACAGGTGTAAGGAAACGTGTCGAAATGTTTCCACCCGCCGGGAATCGAACCCGGGCCCTCCGTGTGTGAAGCGGGAGCTTTAGCCACCAGGCCACCGGGCCTTGCATACATATCACGTTTGCCAAAGAATAGGTCCCAGTTATCAATGAATGGGATTGCAAGTTCCTTGCAGTACCCGTCTAGCCAGCAATTTATATCAATTGCCCTAGACATCCATTCATTGCCCACTCCCTTTCTAGGCAAGATGCTACATATGACTGGGATCCCTCCCTTAGACCTAACTACAGTGGACCCCCGGTTAACGATTTTAATCCGTGCAAGAGGGCTCATCGTTATGCGAAATAATCGTTATGCGAATTAATTTTCCCCATAAGAAATAATGGAAATAAAATTAATCCGTGCAAGATGCCCAAAAGTATGAAAAAAAATTTTTTTTACCACATGAAATGTTAATTTTAATACACACAAACTGAAAAAGGCATGCACAATTACATGACACTTACTTTTATTGAAGATCTGGTGATGATTGATGGGGTGGGAGGAGGGGAGAGCATTATCTTCTTACTGTTTAGAAGGGGAATCCCCTTCCATTAGGACTTGAGGTAGCAAGTCCTTTTTTGGGGTTACTTCCCTTCTTCTTTTAATGCCACTAGGACCAGCTTCAGAGTCACTGGACCTCTGTCGCACAACAAATCTGTCCATAGAGCTCTGTACCTCCCGTTTCTTCTAAGACTTTCCTAAAATGGGCCATAACATTGTCATTGAAATAGTCACAAGCACGGCTTGCAACAGCTGTGTCAGGGTGATTTTCATCTATAAAGGTTTGCAGTTCAAACCACTCTGCACACATTTCCTTAATCTTTGAAGTAGGCACAATGGATTCCACAACTGGCATAGGCTTCTCAGGGTTAGCCCCAAACCCTTCAAAATCTTTCTTAATTTCCATACTAATTCTCACCCTTTTTACCACAGGGTTGGCACTAGAAGCTTTCTTGGGGCCCATGGTCACTTATTTTCCAGAAACACCACCGAAAACACTGTAATAATACGAAATATTCCGAGTGTATGCTTGGATGTTACCGCGGAGGCTGGCTGGTAAACAATGGGACGGCCGGCACATGTGAGGGCACATTGGACGCGTCTCGGACGAAAATCGGTATGCGGGTTTTTAATCGGTATGCGGGGCAAAAATTTTGCGATAAAAGTAATCGTTATGCGGAAAAATCGCTATGCGATGCCATCGTTATGCGGGGGTCCACTGTACTTCTATGGCTGACCTGTACTTATCCAGCAGCTCCTCTCTCCTGCCCTTCCCAGTGTCATTACCCCCAGCACTAAGACAGATAATGGGCTTGTTCCCATTACCTGCCATAATATTATCCAACCTGCTGACTATGTCACCAACACCAGCTCCAGGAAGGCACACTCTCTGTCTGACCTTTCTGTCTCTGTTACAAAATGCACGGTCCATATATCTTACCTGAGAATTGCCTACTATTAAAATATTCTTACCTTGATTAGCAGGGGAATCAGTGGTTCCTTCAACTTCACTGTAGTAAAACAACGTTAAGTAGGGTAAATTGGGTGATGTGGCTGAATCGTCCAGGGGACTGACACCAGTCCTCTGGATAATTGCTGGTTGCTGATGTAGGTGTTGCTTGACAAATAATTAGGTGACACCACATTAAGGAAAAACATGCTCAAGTTAGTGTTTCACTGTTTTCAGTTTTGCTCTTTTGAACTGTGGTGACATCCATATTGGTAGCTCAGTCATGGTAGGGAGCCATCACCAAAAAAAAACTCATAATTCCTGTGTGTTCACTATGGTTTTAGAATAATTAGTCAATCATGCCTTGAATTATGTATGATTGATGGATGGGTGCATGTAAGATGTGCTGATGTCACAAGTGAAGATTAGACCGAATTAGTGGTGGAAGAAACTATTCGATCCAACTCGCTGCACGTAGTGCTCAAACCCATGTGAAGCCAGTCATTGTTGGAGCCAGATTAGAAAGGAGAGTGGGAGATCCTAGTGCTCTGGGTTTGGCAGACTATTCCTCAGCAGACTAGTATGGGCAACTATGTGCAGGGAACTGAATTGTGTTACGGGTCATCTCAGTGTCCAGTTTATAAACAAAGCAAGCAGAATGTCAAGAGACGATGGCAATACCATTGATACAGATGTTCCATATAGAGCACTGTGAAGTGATAGATGTGTTGTATATGTTTTATGAAGTGATAAGTGCAGTTAGATACCATGTTTGCAGTGATAACAAGTGTTATTTAAGTGATCAGAGTACAGTGGAGTGTTGACATTAGTCTTTCATTGTTTAATAGGATTATATATTATATGCTGTAAATTATAGTGACCACTAAGTGAAAATGTACAGGATGCATTTATAATCTTTAAAGTGTGCCAAGTCTAGTGTTGTACAGTTTTTGAACAGTATAAAATGTGTGGTTGTATTATCATTGACTATGCCAGTATTTGAATTTCAGTATTATTGTAATGAACTGAACGGTGTAATATACTATACCAACATTGTAAATATTCTCAGTGTTCTTTCATAGCTCAAGTAGTAAAAGCATTCAGCTCAGAGCTAAAAGTAACTGGATCTAATACAGGGCAGGGCGAGAAATATGGGCAAGTCTTCTAATACCTGCTGCCCCTGTTACGTAGTAATAAATAGATGCAACACTATCTAGAAGGTCCTGTAGTTGATCACTGTGGTTTGCATTCTATAGGAGGACCTAAAATTGAATTCATTGGACATAAGATGGGTATTCATCACCAACCACTGTTTTGTCACTTATTTTTATTAGTTTATTTGCTTGTCCTTATATCACTTGCATATACTGTAGGTACAAGTGTACCCTCAGGCTCAGAAGAGTATTGTATTGTAAGGAGATTCAAATGAACTAGAAATATTGAAGTTTGTTTTGCGAAATTACAGTACTGATAAGGCTGGATATTTTTGCTTTTTATTAATACTAGGTTTTCACTTCAGTAGGCCCTTTATACATACCCAGATTAAATTGATCTAATTACTGTAATGTGCTTTTCTTAAATTATCTTGCACAGTAAATATTGTATTATACTAATAGAAATTCTCTAACCCTCAGTAAGTGTGGCTTTTAATTTGTGACGATGGATGGCCCGAATGGAGGAGGGGGGGACTGTGTAGGAGGAGGAGAATGGCGAAGTGGAAACTATGATGCAACAAACCAGATAAAACACCTATTGAATATCCACACAGACGATGTAGGGAAGCAAATTGTGGATGCTCAGCCTCACACTCCTCCACAGAATATTCCTGGGCATAGACAGGTGTGGCAGTAGAATTATTTTATAGAGGTCTGGTTGTGTGTTAAGGCATGCATGCTTTGTAATATACTTTGAAATTCTAAAGGGATCTAGAGGACTGTTCAGTACATATATTGCAAGTTTAATAAAAATAAATATGCATTTTAACAATGTCTGTCTCTCAATAAGATAGGGTGACCTGAAAAATAGGAAACACTCATCGTCATCATCAGTCATTCATTGTCTTGCTAAAAGGCTGTCAACATCACATTTAAATATCCTTACTACATTCCCACCCCTCTTCCAAAGTGCAGGTACTGTACGTACTACACCAACAACATGTCAAATCATAAAAAAAACCACTTCCCTCCACTCACTCCTAACATGCTTATACAAGCCTGTTGGATGACCAAGCCCCTATCACTCAAAACCTCTGTTACCTCCTTCCCTCCAACCTTCCTGTGATGACCCCCACCCCTCCTTACATCTACCCTGGATATATTAGCCCTCCTGGTCATCCTGTTTTGCTCCATCCTCTCAGTATGTTCAAACCACCTCAACAACCCTTTCACCACCTTTGGCAACCTCGTGCCTAATAATATTCACATTATAAATTCTCTGCATAATATTCATGCCACACATTTTCCTGAAATATGACACCTCCACTTCAACCTTCTCATTGCTGTAACATTTAAAAATAATGCTTCACACCCATATAACAGTGTTGGTATCATTATACTCTAGTACATTTTCATTTTTACCTCCATAAATAAAATACATAATTTTTTCCAAATGCTTCAATGCATTGCTCAACTTTTTTTTTTCCCATGTCAGTTCTTTTGTTCATCTCATCTTTCATAGGTTCATCTGCTGTCAAGCCCACTCCCAAATATTTAAAGACCTTTACTTCCTTCATACTACCACCCTCCAGTCTGATACCCAATTTTTCATTGCCTAAATTGTTTTGTTTAAATTTTTGTTACTCATTACCTTGGTCTTTCCTTAGTTTGCTTTTAATATAATTTTTTTACATACTCCCAAGTTTGTCTGCCACCCTTTGCAGCTTCTCTTTAGAATCTTCCAGAAGAACCAAGTCATCTACAAAAAAAGCATATATGACAGTTGCTTTGTGTTAGATTTGTTATCTTTTATTCCCATACCTCTCCCCTAGTACTAGCATTCACTTCTTTTTCAACCCCACTGATCCCTTTCTAAGGCCTATTTTTGCTGCTTCTAATACCCTACTACCTATTCCATAAATTTACAAAACCTGCCACATTGCTCCCCTATCCACATACTTGTATAGCTTTTCTTTAAATCCATAAATGCAACAAAAAATTTCTCACCTTTAACCCTTTGGCTGTTTTGGTCGTATATATACGTCTTACGCACTGACTGTTTTTTTGGATTAAAACGCCAAATTTGAGGTGTATTTTCGTATAGTATTTATTGTTGTATTCTCGTTTTCATGGTCTCGCATGATAAAATGGAAAACATATTACAGAAATAAAGGTTATTTTAATTAGTTTCACGATGAAAACAACCTTGAAATTGAGCTCAAAGTAGCGGAAATGTTCGATTTTTACCAATGTTCAGGAGTAAGCAAATCACACCATACGTCCAATACACGTCAACTGGGGAGTCTAATATTCTTTCACTAGTGCACTGATACTTATACCATTTTTACAATAATGCAGTAGTCTGTATAACAGTAAATTTTGTATTTTTTGTATGAATAAAAATTCAAAATAGAAAGGAATAGTAATATAAGAGGGGCCTAGAGACGTGACTAATGAACAGAGGATATGTTATTTTAGTGCCAAGAATGTCTACATTGTTTATTCTGGACCCTATTTTGAAGTTGGCATCTTTTTTAATTTGCTTGAAATTGGCCAAATTGCCAGTTTTTGACCACTTTATTGGGTAGTTCAAATTGGTAAATGGGCAGTTTCTTGTACTCAACTAATAGAAAAAATGGAGTTCTAAAGAAATAGCTATGAGTTTGGTCAACTGGAACAATGGAATTGGCCAAAAACAGGGCTCAAAGTTGGCAAAATCGCCAATGCGTGTATGTTGCCAAGACTGCTAACTTTGCGGGAGCGTAATTCCTTGAGTTTTCGACCAAATTTCATACTTTTGGTGTCATTACCATTGGGAAAAGATTGTCTATCATTTCATAAGATTTTTTTTTTTTTTTTTTTTTTTTTTTTTTTCCAAAAAATTTTGCGACATAGAATGACAGTTTCAGAAAGGGGCTTGCGACAGTCAAAGGGTTAAGAATTGTTCACTTGTATACCTCTGTGTAAACACTTGGTCTACCCATCCCCAGCCCTTCCTAAAACCTGTTCCTTTACAGTCCTACTCTCTGTGTTATCCTTAATTCTTTCAATAACTCTTCCATACGCTGTACCAGGTATACTCAACAGGCTTATTCCCCAATAATTCTCACTTTCTCTTTTACCCCTTTTCCTTTATACATAAGAATTATGCATGCTCTCTACCAGTCCTTAAGTACCTTTCCCCTTTCATGCATATATTGAGTGAGTGCACCAACTGCTCCAAAACAATATCCCTACCTGTTTGTAACATTTCTGTCTTGATACTGTTTATCCCAGCTGCTTTACCCCATTCATTCTACTTACTGCTTCACGTACTTCCCCCACACTCGCCTTGCTCTTTCTCACTCTTACAAATCACTTCTTTCCTTACTTCTTCAACATTTAACAACTCCAAATATTCCCTCCATTTTTCCAGTACCTCTGCCTCTCCATCAGATAACTCTTCCCCTTCATTTCTAACTGTTAAATCAATTTGGGCTTTCCCAGCTTATTGATCTAGCTCCAAAAGTTTCTTTTTCTCAGCAAAATTTGTTGATAACATCACCCACTCTCTCACTGGTTCTCCTATTGTACTCCCTTACCACTCTTTTAACTTCTCTTTTAATTTAGCACATACTCTCTCCTCCATATATCACTTCTACATTGCAATAACTTCTATACCATCTTTTTCTCACCACTTTATTTATTCCACAAATCACTTCCCCTACCTCCCAGTGCCAGTCCTCCTTACCCACAGACTTCTGCTGCACACACTTACATCTTATTCTTTAATCTACCCCATACTCTTTGACTCCTTCCTTATTACCTGTACTCTCTCTCTCTCCCACTTTTTTCCCCAATGGTTACTGAAATTTTACCCTTATTATCTCCTCTTTTAATACATTAATTTTCACATCTCTCTTACCCACTGATGGCATTCTTCTTGAATCTCATCTATCTCTTACTCTCACTGTAGCTACCGCTAAATAAAAGTAATCTCATATATTTGTCACTCCTTTATACACATGCATATTCTGAGGTCTACCTGTCAACTTTTTATCTTCTGTTGCAGTCTAACAAATTGCTGTTATTGTGCTTTATATCATATCTCATATACAGCGTCTCCTCACTTAACGACAGAGTTACGTTGCTAAACGAGGAGCATACTATAATGGTAGTGAGTTTGTGTCAACCATCTTTGATATTGTATTAATGCCACCTTTTCACCATTCATAACATTCTTAGTAAATTTTTAACTGTTTATACAGTAGTGTACTGTACTATATTAGAATAAAGAGAATAAAGAAAATTAGCTCTAATATTCATTATTTAGGTATGCATATTGGTCAGAAAGCCCATCGTAAGTCTGAGTTGTCAGTAAACGAGTACGTTGCTAAGTGAGGAGAGGCTGTACTTATTTATCCTCTTTTTCTTAAAATGTGTATTACCTATTACCAAACCTCTTTATATGCCTAGTTCAGTTAGAAGCCCCCCGTGTTTACTCCTTGCACTACTATGCCCTTCACAACAATTTCTTCCGCTTTAGCACTTAGATCCCCACAATAATTATTTTCTCATTTAGTGCAAAGCTTCCTAAACACTTGCTTAACATCTAAAACCTCTCCCTCTCCTCTGTATACCTCTCTTCCCCACTATTTTTTTGTATCCCAAACTTATTCTGATCCACATTGTTTCTTAAATTTTACACCTATACCCCTCTTTGTCCTTCCACTGTTGATCATTCTTTTGCTGTAGTTCTCTCAGATACCCCTGATTTAATCCTAATCGCTTCTCCCCACTGAAATTCACTTCTTTTCCCTTTAGTTTTGTTATGCTTCTTTTCATTTGTAACAGTCACAATCAATCCCTTCTTATAATCCGCACTCGAATCTTTTATTAACAAAGCATCTTGCCTGTGCTCCAGGCTTTATTAGTCAAATACAATGTAGATGAATACACCCTTCAGTACAGGCAAAACATTTTGTCAAAGATTCCTAGTGTCGCATGTGTCAATATTGTACGTATACCATTTATAAGATAATGACTTTGTCATTGCTCCATAGGGTCAACTTACACACGAGCACTTCGAAAGGTCAGGCAGTCCCTCCAATAAGCAACAGCGCTGGGATAACAACAGGTAAATTAATTAATTCTGATTAAGCTTGCTGTTTAATTCTTGTTTTATAAGTTGTTATATTGTACAGTACCTAACATTACTTGCTGTATCTGTCTCATTACTTAATTTTTCCTACTGTGAGTACAGTCTATATTTTTAAATTCAGAGTTATTAGGTCTGAGGATCTTATGCATTATTGATTTTACTAATTATAAGAATAAGAATAGTTTCTAGCTGAGCTCCCTTTTTTTTCCCAACTACCTTAAGTCAAACAGAGAGTCAGAAAATTAGGCATTTAGGCAAAAGAACAAATAATTTAAAGTTGACATATTAACTTTGACATTTTATACATATAAATATAGAAAGTAAATATATATCAAAATGCAGTGGAACCCCAGTTTTCGTCCTTAATCCGTTCCAGAAGGTTGGTTGAAATCCGAAATGGACGAAAATCGAAGTAATATTTCCCATAAGAAATAATGTAACTCTAATTAATCCATTTCAGACATCCAAAAATATTAACAAAAAATACATTTTATAGAGAATAACTGTAGTTTTACATACAGAAAACAATGAGAAATAAATATAAAGCACTAATTTTAATGGATAAATGAACATTTAAATCACTTTATTGAGAACTTTTGTTAGTATATTCTTTACAAGATCTGCATGCAGCTGCCTTGCCTTCTCACAAATTATTGCCTCCACAACACTATCTCCCGCTAACTGTTTTTCGTTGATCCACACCACCACCAACAACAACAACTCAACATCTTCGATTGTTTGCCATCACTACCACCCTCTACCACCATCACTACCACCCTCTGCCACCTTCACTACCACCCTCTGCCACCTTCACTACCACCCTCTGCCACCTTCACTACCACCCTCTGCCACCCTCACTACCACTCTCTGCCACCTTCACTACCACCCTCTGCCACCTTCTCTACCACCCTCTGCCACCATTACTACCACCCTCTACCACCATCACTACCACCCTCTACCACCATCACTACCACCGTCTACCTTTGTAGAGGGTGGTAGTGATTTTCTCCACAAAACTTTTGTGGAGTATTGCTCACTGAAAAAGTAATAGAGGCAGACTTAGTCACATACGTGTGAGCGGCCGTGTCCTGGGCAAGTGGACGCGTCTGATATGGGCGATTTCCGAGCGGAGGTACAAAATCCAGGGTAAAATTGTGCCCAAAAAAGTGGCCGAAAGCCGAATTGTATGATATCCACACCGGACAAAATCCAGGGCTCCACTGTAATAGTTTACTTAAAACTACAGTGGAACCTCGGTACTCAAACAGCCCCCTTCTTGAACAAAGCTTGGCACTCGACCAAACAAACATGACCTGCCAGAACTTTGCTGTAAACTATTTCATGTTTCTTAGCATTTTTTGGTGTTTTTTGTATATTGTATAAAGTCACCATAGGGCCTATGAACTTTAGTGATAACAGCCAACCAAAAAGATAATTGGTTGGGTAGAATTTGTTTGATACTCGAACGGATCAGCACCTGAACAGCCTTCTGGAATGAATTAAGTTTGAGTACCGAGGTTCCACTGTACTTTCCTTAATGAATAAAGATTTTACCTAAGTGACAAGCCGTAAACAGTTACCTAGAAAAGGGTCGAAGCCAGGACTGGCAGTGATTATGTAAGACAAGGGAAGCCATTTCATAGTGTGGAACATGTGTCACCACCTATGACCACGTATATCACATGACACATTCATATTACAGTACTCTCTTTTTATTTCTAAAATGTCCTCTCAGCTTTGGTAAGTTCATTATTGATGTATTACTGTATTACATTGGAGTGACTTTTTTTTGTTTGATTTGCTGTTGGAGTATAAGTAAGGTAATATCCATGAAGGGTTTCAGGGCAAATAGCTAGCTGGACTTGAATTCTAGAGGTGGGAAATACAGTACCTGCACTCTGAAAAATGGGTGAGGATGTTGCATGTTGTTGGATAGTTTAAATTGTAATGTCCATGGTGTAATGTTATGGTGCAGGTGTTTTTCTTTGGAATATCCTGCCTTGGTGGGACCCCATGAGCCAAAAGATCCAGGGGTGTTTAGCACATCTCCATGCACAGCTCAAAGATGTGGAGTTCTGTTGGTGCCCAGGTCATTTTGATATCCTGGGAAATGAGTGGGTGGATGCAGAGGCAAAGGCTTCAGTAAGTAGGCCACTCTACAGTAGACCTTTTGCCATACAGTGACTTAAAAGGCCATATCCACAGATATATCCTTGGGAAGTAGTGGACCCGGTGGACCCTGCAGACTAGCAGCAAGTTATGTACGTTTGACCCTCCTTCAACAAGAATTGTCACTTTGAGATGAATCTCTCTCAGTTGAGAATTGGGCACACATTTCTCACCCATAGGCACCTGTTCTTGGGTGCTCCTGCCCCTCTCCCCTTCCCCTGTATAACATGTGATATGTTGATAAATGACACTTGTGCAACATTTGAGTATCTTTAATCTGGAAATATTTTCCAGCCACTGGCAGTACAGAGAATGGTGTATTGGACTGAAGAAGCCACTGGCTGGTGAAACACTTCCAGATTAAAGATACCCAAATGTTGCACAAGTGTGTCAGTTATCAACCTTTCGATTTTCTAAACTGTTCATACAAACTTGTGACATGCTGCTGGCTGGAGCACGTTATATGTATTGGTTTGTTTATGGTTTAGGCATTTCTACTTTCGTTGTGGTTTTTAGAATTACCTGGATGTCTGTAGGGACTTTAGGGAAACTTTTAGACCAATCTTTTGATATTAACAATTTAAGGAGTTTTGTTTTTAATTGTTATGATATTTATTGGTGTTGAGTATTTGTTTGTTATTTTTTCCATGTTTGTCTTGTGTGTTGTATATATTTTTTATGGGCATGATTGCTGAGTTGATCTATCATGGCAATGTGGTCTGAAAATATCAAAACAGCAACTACTGGTAGGATCAACTGATGTGTTAAACTCAATCCTTGACTTTCTCATTCTGGACCCTTGTTTTGAATGATTAACTGCTGATGGTTTTGAAATCTGGATATCCCCTACAACTAAGAATCAGATTTGAGTATTGGTGATTTTATTGTGGAGCTTAGTTTTTCCTGTTGCTGAAAGTTGAGTAGTGTATATTTATGTAAATTAAGCATTGTGCTATTTATTGACTATACACTAATGTGCATACTCTTAAGATACTACTAGCAATTTTAGACTTTTCATTTTCTTCAACTTGGAAAAAAAAGATTTTGTATTATAGTTTTGACATAAGATAAAATCATCAGAATTGAGCCTTAAAATTATTTTAATTGACAGATACCATGATGGGCGACATCGAGTGGACAGTTACGGAAGCCCTGGTAGAACCAATCCTAGATATGGCAATTACGATCAATGCCGCACTCCTCCTCATAGATATGACATAAGGCAACGTGCAGAAAGTTACGGGAGTCCAAGTAGAAGCAATCATAGACAAGGAAGCAATGATCGTGGCTATATTGGTAGTCCCCGAAACCAGCATCAATTTCAGCATCAGCACAGAGGTCCTCTTAAAGATCAAAGGGACATGCGGGTGAATGGGCCAAGAAAGATAAATTCTTCAGTGAATTCTCAAATGGCTGTGGGATCTGATGCTGAGAGTCCAGATTTTCAACCTAGTCCAGAAATTTTAGCAGAACTTGAAGAGCAGTTTTTATTTCCTCTTAAAAAAGTAAGAATTTTTTAGTACTGTACTTATTTAAAAATTATAGGGGAATAAGTTTACTTAGATACAAGCAACTATTGGTAGAAAGGTGGTCTAGTGCATGTATGGGTAGTGGGGGAGGGGTTGAAGAGGGATGGGATAGTTTTAAAAATGCAGTATTAAAATGTGGGGCAGAAGTTTGTGGCTATAGGAGGGTGGGTGCAGGAGGAAAGAGGAGTGATTGGTGGAATGATGAGGTAAAGGGTGCAATAAAAGAGAAAAAGAGGCTTTTACAAAGCAGAAGTGATATAAGAAGGGCAGTGTATATGGAGGGTAAGAAAAGTGAAAGAGAGTGGTGAGAGAGTGCAAAAGGAGGGCAGATGGCAGACTAGGAGAGGCACTGTCAAGAAATTTTACTGAGAATAAGAAAAAATTTTGGAGTGAGATAAACAAGTTAAGAAAGCCTAGGGAATGAATGGATTTGTCAGTTAAAAACAGAGTAGGGCAGTTAGTAGAAGGGGAGCTGGAGGTATTGAGTTGATGGCGGGAATATTTTGAGGAACTTTTAAATGTCGATGAAGGGAGGCAGTAATTTCATGCACCGGCCAGGGAGATATAATATCTTTTAGAAGTGAAGAAGAGCAGGATGTGTGTGTGGGGAAGGTGCGTGAGGCATTACGTAGAATGAAAGGGGGTAAAGCAGCTGGAACTGATGAGATCATGACGGAAATGTTAAAAGCAGGGGGGGATATAGTGTTGGAGTGGTTGGTATTTTTGTTTAATAAATGTATGAAAGAGGGGGAAAGTACCTAGGGATTGGCAGAGAGTGTGTATAATTCTTTTATATAAAGGGAAAGGGGACAAAAGAGATTGTAAAAATTATAAGGGAATAAGTTTACTGATAATGGGAGCCCTTTGATTGAACTTCGTATAGAAAGGGGTTTAGTTATAGGTAATACATATTTTAAGAAAAAGAGGATAAATAAGTATACAAGGTATGATGTAGGGCGAAATGACAGTAGTTTGTTGGATTATGTATTGGTAGATAAAAGACTGTTGAGTAGACTTCAGGATGTACATGTTTATTGAGGGGCCACAGACATATCAGATCACTTTCTAGTTGTAGCTACACTGGAGTAAAAGGTAGATGGGATACAAGGAGAATAGAAGCATCAGGGAAGAGAGAGGTAAAGGTTTATAAACTAAAAGAGGAGGCAGTTAGGGTAAGATATAAACAGCTATTGGAGGATAGATGGGCTAATGAGAGCATAGGCAATGGGGTCGAAGAGGTATGGGGTAGGTTTAAAAATGTAGTGTTAGAGTGTTCAGCAGAAGTTTGTGGTTACAGGAAAGTGGGTGCGGGAGGGAAGAGGAGCGATTGGTGGAATGATGATGTAAAGAGAGTAGTAAGGGAGAAAAAGTTAGCATATGAGAAGTTTTTACAAAGTAGAAGTGATGCAAGGAGGGAAGAGTATATGGAGAAAAAGAGAGAGGTTAAGAGAGTGGTGAAGCAGTGTAAAAAGAGAGCAAATGAGAGAGTGGGTGAGATGTTATCAACAAATTTTGTTGAAAATAAGAAAAAGTTTTGGAGTGAGATTAACAAGTTAAGGAAGCCTAGAGAACAAATGGATTTGTCAGTTAAAAATAGGAGAGGAGAGTTATTAAATGGAGAGTTAAAGGTATTGGGAAGATGGAGGGAATATTTTGAGGAATTGTTAAATGTTGATGAAGATAGGGAAGCTGTGATTTCGTGTATAGGGCAAGGAGGAATAACATCTTGTAGGAGTGAGGAAGAGTCAGTTGTGAGTGTGGGGGAAGTTCGTGAGGCAGTAGGTAAAATGAAAGGGGGTAAGGCAGCCGGGATTGATGGGATAAAGATAGAAATGTTAAAAGCAGGTGGGGATATAGTTTTGGAGTGGTTGGTGCAATTATTTAATAAATGTATGGAAGAGGGTAAGGTACCTAGGGATTGGCAGAGAGCATGCATAGTTCCTTTGTATAAAGGCAAAGGGGACAAAAGAGAGTGCAAAAATTATAGGGGGATAAGTCTGTTGAGTATACCTGGTAAAGTGTATGGTAGAGTTATTATTGAAAGAATTAAGAGTAAGACGGAGAATAGGATAGCAGATGAACGAGGAGGCTTTAGGAAAGGTAGGGGTGTGTGGACCAGGTGTTTACAGTGAAACATATAAGTGAACAGTATTTATATAAGGCTAAAGAGGTCTTTGTGGCATTTATGGATTTGGAAAAGGCGTATGACAGGGTGGATAGGGGGGCAATGTGGCAGATGTTGCAGGTGTATGGTGTAGGAGGTAGGTTACTGAAAGCAGTGAAGAGTTTTATAGGGATAGTGAGGCTCAAGTTAGAGTATGTAGGAAAGAGGGAAATTATTTCCCAGTAAAAGTAGGCCTTAGACAAGGATGTGTGATGTCACCGTGGTTGTTTAATATATATATAGATGGGGCTGTAAGAGAAGTAAATGCGAGGGGTCTTGGCAAGAGGCGTGAAGTTAAAAGATAAAGAATCACACATAAAGTGGGAGTTGTCACAGTTGCTCTTTGGTGATGACACTGTGCTCTTGGGAGATTCTGAAGAGAAGTTGCAGAGATTGGTGGATGAATTTGGTAGGGTGTGCAAAAGAAGAAAATTAAAAGTGAATACAGGAAAGAGTAAGGTAATGAGGATAACAAAAAGATTAGGTGATGAAAGATTGGATATCAGATTGGAGGGAGAGAGTATGGAGGAGGTGAATGTATTCAGATATTTGGGAGTGAATGTGTCAGCGGATGGGTCTATGAAAGATGAGGTGAATCATAGAATTGATGAGGGGAAAAGGGTGAGTGGTGCACTTAGGAGTCTGTAGAGACAAAGAACTTTGTCCTTGGAGGCAAAGAGGGGAATGTATGAGAGTATAGTTTTACCAACGCTCTTATATGGGTGTGAAGCATGGGTGATGAATGTTGCAGCAAGGAGAAGACTGGAGGCAGTGGAGATGTGATGTCTGAGGGCAATGTGTGGTGTGAATATAATGCAGAGAATTCGTAGTTTGGAAGTTAGGAGGAGGTGCGGGATTACCAAAACTGTTGTCCAGAGGGCTGAGGAAGGGTTGTTGAGGTGGTTCGGACATGTAGAGAGAATGGAGCGAAACAGAGTGACTTCAAGAGTGTATCAGTCTGTAGTGGAAGGAAGGCGGGGTAGGGGTCGGCCTAGGAAAGGTTGGAGGGAGGGGGTAAAGGAGGTTTTGTGTGCGAGGGGCTTGGACTTCCAGCAGGCATGCGTGAGCGTGTTTGATAGGAGTGAATAGAGACAAATGGTTTTTAATACTTGACGTGCTGTTGGAGTGTGAGCAAAGTAACATTTATGAAGGGGTTCAGGGAAACCGGCAGGCCAGACTTGAGTGCTGGAGATGGGAAGTACAGTGCCTGCACTATGAAGGAGGGGTGTTAATGTTGCAGTTTAAAAACTGTAGTGCAAAGCACCTTTCTGGCAAGACAGTGATGGAGTGAATGTTGGTGAAAGTTTTTCTTTTTCGGGCCACCCTGCCTTGGTGGGAATCGGCCAGTGTGATAATAAAAAAATAAAAGTTTACTGAGTATACCAGGTAAAGTGTATGGTAGGGTTATTATTGAAAGAATTACAGGTAAGACAGAGAGCAGGACTGCAGATGAGAATGGAGGCTTTAGAGTGAGTAAGGGATGTGTAGATCAGGTGTTTACATTGAAACATATATCTTCTTTCTTTCAACACACTGGCTGTATCCCACCGAGGCGGGGTGGCAAAAAAGGAAAAATTAAAGTTACTCCTTTTACATTTAGTAATACATACAAGAGAAGGGGTTAATAGCCCCTTGCTTCTGGCATTTTAGTCACCTCTTACAACACGCATGGCTTACGGAGGAAGAATTCTGTTCCACTTTACCATGGAGATGAGAAGAAATAAACAAGAACAAGAACTAGAAACCTTGGTAGTAGGTTGGTAGACAGCAACCGCCCAGGGAGGTACTACCGTCCTGCCAAGTGAGTGTAAAATGAAAGCCTGTAATTGTTTTACATGATGGTAGGATTGCTGGTGTCCATTTTTCTGTCTCATAAACATGCAAGGTTTCAGGTACGTCTTGCTACTTCTACTTACACTTAGGTCACACTACACATACATGTACAAGCATATATATATACACACCCCACTGAGTTTTCTTCTATTTTCTTACTAGTTCTTGTTCTTGTTTATTTCCTCTTACCTCCATGGGGAAGTGGAACAGAATTCTTCCTCCGTAAGCCATGCATGTTGTAAGAGGTGACTAAAATGCCAGGAGCAAGGGGCTAGTAACCCCTTCTCCTGTATATATTACTAAATGTAAAAGGAGTAACTTTCGTTTTTCCTTTGGGCCACCCCGCCTTGGTGGGATACGGCCAGTGTGTTGAAAGAAAAGAAAGAACTAGAAAGAAAATAGAAGAAAACCCAGAGGGGTGTGTATATATATGATTGTACATGTATGTGTAGTGTGACCTAAGTGTAAGTAGAAGTAGCAAGACGTACCTGAAGTTTTGCATGTTTATGAGACAAAAAAAAGACACCAGCAATCCTACCATTATATAAAACAATTACAGGCTTCCGTTTCACACTCACTTGGCAGGATGGTAGTACTTCCCTGTGTGGTTGCTGTCTACCAACCTACTATCTAGGTGAAACATATATGTCAACGGTATTTAGATAAAGGTAGGGAAGTTTTCATTGCTTTTATGTATTTAGAAAAGTGTGTAGAAGAGAGGGAGAATACTTCCCGGTAAAAGTAGGTCTTAGACAGGGATGTGTAATGTCACCATGGTTGTTTAATATATTTATAGATGGGGTTGTAAAAGAAGTAAATGCTAGGGTGTTCGGGAGAGGGGTGTGATTAAATTATGGGGAATCAAATTCAAAATGGGAATTGACACAGTTACTTTTTGCTGATGATACTGTGCTTATGGGAGATTCTAAAGAAAAATTGCAAAGGTTAGTGGATGAGTTTGAGAATGTGTGTAAAGGTAGAAAGTTGAAAGTGAACATAGAAAAGAGTAAGGTGATGAGGGTATCAAATGATTTAGATAAAGAAAAATTGGATATCAAATTGGGGAGGAGGAGTATGGAAGAAGTGAATGTTTTCAGATACTTGGGAGTTGACGTGTCGGCGGATGGATTTATGAAGGATGAGGTTAATCATAGAATTGATGAGGGAAAAAAGGTGAGTGGTGCGTTGAGGTATATGTGGAGTCAAAAAACGTTATCTATGGAGGCAAAGAAGGGAATGTATGAAAGTATAGTAGTACCAACACTCTTATATGGATGTGAAGCTTGGGTGGTAAATGCAGCAGCGAGGAGACGGTTGGAGGCAGTGGAGATGTCCTGTCTAAGGGCAATGTGTGGTGTAAATATTATGCAGAAAATTCGGAGTGTGGAAATTAGGAGAAGCTGTGGAGTTAATAAAAGCATTAGTCAGAGGGCAGAAGAGGGGTTGTTGAGGTGGTTTGGTCATTTAGAGAGAATGGATCAAAGTAGAATGACATGGAAAGCATATAAATCTATAGGGGAAGGAAAGAGGGGTAGGGGTCGTCCTCGAAAGGGTTGGAAAGAGGGGGTAAAGGAGGTTTTGTGGGTGAGGGGCTTGGACTTCCAGCAAGCGTGCATGAGCGTGTTAGATAGGAGTGAATGGAGACGAATGATACTTGGGACCTGACGATCTGTTGGAGTGTGAGCAGGGTAATATTTAGTGAAGGGATTCAGGGAAACCGGTTATTTTCATATAGTCGGACTTGAGTCCTGGAAATGGGAAGTACAATGCCTGCACTTTAAAGGAGGGGTTTGGGATATTGGTAGTTTGGAGGGATATGTTGTGTATCTCTATACGTATATGCTTCTAAACTGTTATATTCTGAGCACCTCTGCAAAAGCAGTGATAATGTGTGAGTGTGGTGAAAGTGTTGAATGTTGATGAAAGTATTTTCTTTTTTGGGATTTTCTTTCTTTTTTTTGGGTCACCCTGCCTCGGTGGGAGACGACCGACTTGTTGAAAAAAAAAAAAAAAAATAGAGTGGATAGGGGAACAATGTGGCAGATGTTGCAAGTGTATGGAATAGGTAGTAAGTTACTAAAGGCTGTGAAGAGTTTTTATGAGGATAGTAAGGCTCAGATTAGGGTTTGTAGGAGAGAGGGAGATTACTTCCCAGTAAAAGTAGGTCTTAGACAGGGATGTGTAATGTCACCATGGTTGTTTAACATATTTATAGATGGGGTTGTGAAAGAAGTAAATGCTAGGGTGTTGAGGAGAGGGGCGGGATTAAATTATGGGGAATCAAATACTAAATGGCAGTTGACACAGTTACTTTTTGCTGATGATACTGTGCTTTTGGGGGATTCTAAAGAAAAGTTGCCAAGGTTAGTGGATGAGTTTGGGGAGGGTGTGTAAAGGTAGAAAGTTGAAAGTGAACATAGATAAGAGTAAGGTGATGAGGGTATCAAATGATTTAGATAAAGAAAAATGGGTTATCAAATTGGAGGGAGTGAGTATGGAAGAAGTGAATGTTTTCAGATATTTGGGAGTTGATATGTCAGTGGATGGGTTTACGTAGGATGAGGTAAACCATAGAATTGATGAAGGAAAGAAGGTGAATGGTGCCTTGAGGTATCTTTGGAGACAAAGAACGTTATCCATGGAGTCAATGAAGGGAATGTACGAGAGTATAGTGGTACCAATACTCTTATACGGGTGTGAAGCATACGTTGTAAGTGCTGCGGCGAGGAGGTGGCTGGAGGCAGTGGAGATGTCGTGTGTAAGGGCAATGTGTGGTATAAATATTATGCAGAGAATTCATAGTGTGGAAATCAGGAGGAGGTGTGGAGTTACTGAAAGTATTAGTCAGAGGGCTGAAGAGGGCCTGTTGAAGTGGTTTGGTCATTTAGAGAGAATGGAACACAGTAGAATGACTTGGAGGGCGTATAAATCTGTAGGGGAAGGAATGCAGGGTAGGGGTCATCCTTGAAAAGGTTGGAGGGAGGGAGTAAAGGTGGTTTTGTGTGCGAGGGGCTTGTACTTCCAGCAAGTGTGTGGAGTGAATGGAAATGAATGGTTTTTGGGACTTAACGAGCTGTTGGAGTGTGAGCAGGGTAATATTTTGTGAAAGGATTCTGGGAAACCAGTTAGCTAGGCTTGAGTCATGGAAATTAAAAGTACAGTGACTGCACTTTAAAGGAGGGGTTTAGGATATTGGCAGTTTGGAGGGATATCTAAGCTGTTGTATCTGAGTGCCTCTGCAAAGACAGTGATTATTTATGAGTAATGATTAAAGTATTGAATGATGATGAAAGTATTTTCTTTATTTTTGGGTTTTTCTTTCTTTTTGGGTCACCCTGCCTTGGTGGGAAATGGCCAACATGTTAAAAAAGAAAACTTATTTAAATGGTGCATTTCAAGAGTAAATGATTATTTATATTTTGAATGTTAACCCTTTGACTGTTTCGGTCGTATATATACATCTTACGAGCCACCATGTTTGACGAATATATATTAAAAAATTCTAGCGGCTTCAAATCAAGCAGGAGAAAGCTGGTAGGCCCACATGTGAGAGAATGGGTCTGTGTGGTCAGTGTGCACCATATAAAAAAATCCTGCAGCCGCAGTGCATAACGAGAAAAAAAAACTCCGACTGTGTTTTTTTTTATTAAAACACCAACTTTGCAGTGTATTTTTGTATAGTATTATGGTTGCATTCTCGTTTTCTTGGTCTCATTTGATAGGATGGAAAACATATTATAGAAATAGTGGTGATTTTGATTGGTTTTACTATGTAAAGAACCTTGAAATGGCGCTCAAAGTAGGGGAAATGTTTGATTTTTGCCAATGTTCAAAAGTAAACAAATGATGTCATTGTCCAATAAATGTCCAGCTAGCCATTCTGATATGCAGTCATGAATGGGTTGACATTATTTATACAATTATTACAATATTGCAGTAATCTGCATAACAGTAAATCTTCTATTTTTTGTTTGAATAAAAATTAAAAATAGAAAGCAAGAGTAATATCAGAGGGGCCTGGAGACATGACTGATGAACTAAGAAAATGTTTTTTTAGAGCCAGGAATGCCTGCAGTGTTCATTCTGGACCCTATTTTGAAATTGGCATATTTTTTTAATTTTCGTGAAATTGGCCAAATTGCAAATTTCTGACCATGTTATTGGGTAGTTGAAATCGGCAAATGGGCAGTTTCTTGTACTCATTTGATAGAACAAATGGAATTCTAAAGAAATAGCTTCGAGTTTGGTCGACTGGAACAATGGAATTAGCCGAAAATAGGGCTCAGAGTGGCCAAAATTGCTGATTCGTAAATATTGCCAAGGTCGCTAACTTTGCAAGAGTGTAATTCTCTAAGTTTTCCATCAAATTTCGCACTTTTGGTGTCATTACCATCAGGAAAAGATTCTCTATCATTTCATAAGATTTTTTTCAAAAATTTTTCGACACCAGGAGACACCTCAGGATTTGGGGTTGCGACAGTCAAAGGGTTAAATTAGTGGATAGTACCATTCATCGGGATGTTGAAGACCAGTCTGGTAGGGAAAGGGGCAGTGATTTCCAGAATCATTAACAGGTACATGTATATTCTTGATGCTCATAGAAGAATTGCTTAATGAAGTATGTAAAAAAAAGTTTATTTTAAATGATTAAGTGCTTTACTAGCTTCCACTGAGATTTCACTCATTCATTAATGTAATAAATGAGAGTAGAGAACATGTTTTAACTGAATAAGTTTAAATTTTCTACATAAATAGTTTTCAATAACGACAATATGAAGAATGAGACACGTGTGCAACTTCCGTTTCATGTGTGCAATTCTCCACTGTACACAGACTTTGCAAAAGCCCTCGACAAGTGGGACCATAGTGTGATATTGTGTGCTATCACACCATGGTCCATCTCAGCCCACTGGGGCTGCATGAACCCTTTTCAAGCATTTCCATGTTAACAAGCAGTGACAGCTAGTGGAATAACTACCAAGAAAAGGATTTATTGAGTACATTTTAACTAGGTAATAGGTGATTGAAAATTAATGTTTTGAATGAAATACCATCTTTGCCTTACAGTTCAATTGGGGTACATTGATACTGGTGAAGGGCTCATGATCCAAGGAATTAGAGCTACCTTTCCTTAGATAAACCATGATCTCCCATACCCCAGGCACTGCGTGAACCCAACGAGTTCAGTGCTTACCTGCTGGTATGATTACAATGATTTGCTTCTCTTCAATGGAGGTTCCTTTGTGCTGGTGAGGGCTCTTGATCCAAGGAGCTGGACTTTTCCTCTCCTTCCTTGAATTAAACCTATATGCCTCCTATTCTCCAGGCACTATATGATCTATGTGAGTTTAGTGCTTCCCCCTGATTAAAAAAAAAGGTAATATTCCATAATACAATTTTGTGTTAAATTTGCACATATCATCTTTTTGTCTCAACTTGGTAAATGTTACTAATATTTCTTTTTGATTTCAGAAATCCATGAGATTTCCAAAGGCCAAGTACTTCTGCCGTCTATGTGATTACCATTGTGATTCCTTAGTTGTTTGTAGAAGGCATATTTCTGACACCAGACACAGGAAACTCAAGGAGGTTGGTTATAATATGCCTATATACATTATTTGATATTTTGCTTGTAGTTTATTATTGCATGCTATTTTTCTATCTTGTTAATATGACAAAAAAGGGCTGTAATGTACAGTATCATTATTTAAATTTGGAAACAAGACTTGGCATCAGTTTAGAAAGAATTTTAAATTTGATGGAAGTATTTATGAATATTATAGGTAGTAGGTTGGTAGACAGCAACCACCCATGGAGGTACTACCGTCCTGCCAAGTGAGTGTAAAACGAAAGCCTGTAATTGTTTTTACATGATGGTAGGATTGCTGGTGTCTTTTGTCTGTCTCATAAACATGCAAGATTTCAGGTACGTCTTGCTACTTCTACTTACACTTAGGTCACACTACACATACATGTACAAGCATATATTTACACACCCCTCTGGGTTTTCTTCTATTTTCTTTCTAGTTCGTATTCTTGTTTATTTCCTCTTATCTCCATGGGGAAGTGGAACAGAATTCTTCCTCCGTAAGCCATGCGTGTTGTAAAAGGCGACTAAAATGCCGGGAACAAGGGACTAGTAACCCCTTCTCCTGTATATATTACTAAATGTAAAAGGAGAAACTTGTTTTTCCTTTTGGGCCACCCCGCCTCGGTGGGATACGGCTGGTGCGTTGAAAGAAAGAAAGAAAGATTTATGAATATATTTAAGGTTAGAATAATAGTAAGTTTGTTTAAACTTATTTGTTTATGAACAAGAAATACAACTGAAAACTCAAGGAATGGAAGAAAAAATTGTGAGTCCTATAATAATGTTGAAACATACAAAAAATACCCTGCTGCTAGTGCTTTGTTTAGATAATTATAATGATAAGTCAGGGTCATAATTTGGGATATGGGCACAAGATATTGAAGTTACAGGTGACCTTCATACTTAATACCCATTTGTTACCTGAAGATCATTTGCCAGTCACATCATTGTAAGTCTGTTGTTCCCATAGACACAATGTTATAGATGAGGGTTCTGTTCCTAGGAACCTGTTTCATGCCCTAAAACATATTATTCCTGGAACTGCTAACCCTCTTTTAAAGCCCAAAATTAACCTATTCTGGTTATTAGACTATGTAGCAGTACCTTATGAACTTACCATGCTTCAATATGTTTAACCTTGTTACAAAAATTTAAAGATTAGAGAATTTTTTTCCCTCATTCCAGGTTTAGATGAAAATGAAAGAACTTATGCTAAAGATTTGTGATCTGTGTTAGCTATAAAATATAATTTATTTTTAACGTTGGTTATAATTACCTGTCATGGCAGAGGGGACGTTAAATATAACATGTTTATCATCACTCTAATCTTTCTGGAAGGAAATAGAAGGATTGGTCCAATATTCACTCACCTACACTTTCAAATTGTAAGCACTATGCTTCTTAAACTCAAGTCTAGCTAGCATGTTCACATGAATCTTGATAGATCATGTTATGCTCGTACTACAATACAGCGACATGACAAACTCCATAGGCCCTCTTGTTTCCATTCTGATTTACCACGCTCATATGTGCCTGGTGGATGCTCAAGCTTTACCGTTCAATATTTCTTTCACAATCTTCTTCAAACACTGCTCCAGTTGCTCTTTACACCCCCCACCCACTCTAGATTTATGCACTTTTATCTACTCAGCTTTGAAGAAAACATTTATGAAGTGCTCCCATGGTTTTAACTGACAATTGATCAAAGAGAAATAATGCAAGCCATGGCTAAACATCGTAGGCCTGTTTCTTTTGATTAATGTTAATGATAAGGATTGTATTTTCTTTTAGACATGAATCTTTGAAATATTCTTGGAAAGTATAAAATGCACCTGACCTTTTTGAAAATATTAGATGTCATTGACATAAGTAAAAAAAAAGTCAATGTTTGTAGTCATGGACAAAAGTTCATTCCTTGGTTTCACTGCATCAGTTTGTCCCCAATGTTGACACTGATCTGTACAGCTCTTACCCTGAATGTAGTGGACTGCAGATTTTAGAGCAAATAACATGGGTTGCATGAGAGCAAATCTACAGCCTTGCAGGTACAGTAATCACAACATTCCTATCTTTTTGAACTACAGTAAATCTATTTCTTATAACTAGTTGTAATTTTATGCTCATAAATATGTAAAATGGCTTAGTTATCTTAGCTGTAATTAAAAGTTCTGCCTGGAGCTCTAGGTACAATGGTTTGTTAAGTGTAAAATAAGTTAAATGAATTGCATTTTCTCATAGAAGCCCAGGTTATAACTTGAGCTAAGGACAATAATTTTTTTTATTATTTTTTTTTTTTTATTATTATCACACCGGCCGATTCCCACCAAGGCAGGGTGGCCCGAAAAAGAAAAACTTTCACCATCATTCACTCCATCACTGTCTTGCCAGAAGGGTGCTTTACACTACAGTTTTTAAACTGCAACATTAACACCCCTCCTTCATATCTATTTCTTATTAATTTTCTTTTCAATGATGAAATTTTAAAAAAAGTTCTCCCCAGTGATGGGTTCATTGTCTGGTGAAGACAATGTTGACATATCAACGCTTTATGAGTGCATAGCATAAAAAATTTGAAAAATGATCAAAAGAAAAAGAGAAGTATCACACTGATTTTTGTTATTGTTCTGAAGGGTTGTGATGGATCCTGGGCTGTCCAATATTAAGTTGAAGGGTTGTACTGGCCCTTATGCATATACTGTAATCAGTACTTATGCTTGATGTAGGTTCTGTGTATAGCATGTATATAGCATGTTTGATGTATGTTATTCAGATTCTTCCATAATTGTTATTTCTGGAACAAATCATCCTATTATCCAAACTCAGAAGTGTAATAAACAAACATCAGAAGCATAGACACATATGGAGATAGTAAAACAGAAGCTGAGATGAGAAATGTGTATTTGGTAATTGCATTGAGGCCATCTGCTGAAGGGGGCTTTAGTGTGACACCAATTTGTAAAGTATTCTCTATATTTTCTTGAACACAGTTCAAGAAAATATAGACACACTAGTAACTTGACCTGATATTTTCTTCTCTCCCTCTCCCTCTCCCTCTTCTCCTTTCATATATTTTCTTTCTTCTGCCTAGGTGGGTTCTGTCCTTCAGTTTTTTCCTGTTTTTGGTCCCACCCTCATGGGCCATTAGCTCTCTTGCAGTGCTTCTTTTTCTTGTCCTTAGACTTACTCCACTTCTGCTGCTTCTGCTGCCACTGCCTCCTCGCTTCACTCCCCTTTCTGTCTCTTGTGCCACTATCACTACTCCCCCTGCCTACTCCCCCTGCCTACTCCCCCTGCCTACTCCCCCTGCCTACTCCCCCTACCTACTCCCCCTACCTACTCCCCCTACCTACTCCCCCTACCTACTCCCCCTACCTACTCCCCCTACCTACTCCCCCTACCTACCCCCCTACCTACTCCCCCTACCTACTTCCCCTACCTACTTCCCCTACCTACTTCCCCTACTACTCCCTATACCTACTCCCTATACCTACTCTCCCTACCTACTCCCCTACCTACTCCCCCTACCTACTCCCCCTACCTACTCCCCCTACCTACTCCCCCTACCTACTCCCCCTACCTACTCCCCCTACCTACTCCCCCTACCTACTCCCCCTACCTACTCCCCCTACCTACTCCCTCTACCTACTCCCCCTACCTACTCCCCCTACCTACTCCCCCTTACCTACTCCCCTACCTACTCCTCCCTACCTACTCCTCCCTACCTACTACTATTACTATCACTCCCACTACCACATTACCACTACTCCATTTCCTTTTTCTTCCTCTCTCTCTCTCCTGTCCCTGTCCTCGTGTGTTAATGTGTGTAGTCAATGGCTCAAGTCTGACCGAAACCTTGTCATAAGCTTCTGTCCTATGTGCAGGTTATTTGTGTGTTGTTCCAGTCAGGATATTGTGCCTTTTTGTTCCTTATCTCTTTTCTCTTGATCCTTCTGACTTCAAAGGACATTAACTATAACCAAATCCTTATGTTTGTCTTTTCTAGGCCAAAGCTGTAGAAACTACTCTTAAGAATGTGCCACCAGCTACGGACGAACATATTTCTTCTATTGACAAAATGGTTAAATCCATTGCTGAACAGATGAAAGTTACTCCAGATATGTTGAAACAGCGGCAGGAAGTTCTAACCCAGCTCAATGATCTTCTTGTTGCTAAAGTTGAAGGTAAGTTGTGATTAAAATTTTGACTTGGGTTTCAAGAATATACTCTTAACTATTAAACCTTTACATCTTTGCATGTTCCAGAAGATGGTTGAAAAGGTTGTAGCCTGAAGTACAGTATATACTATTTAACACTTTCTCTATTGTGACACCTAAAATTAAGTGCTGACAGTGTCACGATTTAAAAAAGGTAGAGAGACTTTTTTTGAAGGTAATGACAAAAAATGTGAAATTGTATGGAAATCTTATGGAATTACACAGATGCAATGTTGGCATTCTGAGTGCAATTTACTCATTGGTTATTTTGTTATTTTTGAGTACTCTTGTAAGCCAGTTCCAATGCTCAGATCAACCCAGTTGCTAATATTTCACTAGTATGCCTTCCATTCTATAGATTCAGCATCAGAACCTGCTCATTGAGCTATCAGGGCTACCCTATAATGAGCATGGAATTTTGTAATTTGGCCAGTTTTATTCAAAGTTCAAAAAAATTACAATTTTAAAAACTAAGAGTCTGGAATAAACATACTGGGAACTCTAGCTGCTTATGCAATGTTTCATCTGTTCATTAATCACATCCCCAGGCTTCTAGGAGTCACACTTGGCTAAATGTATTGTCACATTGTCATGTGACACTGAATTTCAATAGCTTTTGCCATCTGTTTGGCATATATTTAGTAATATCGAATATTGCTGGAGCTTTTGATTATTGTCTTAAAAGACTTAGGTGAATGTCTTTTGTTTTCTAAGAATTAACATGTTTGTTTCTTCTGTAGGTTGTCACTTGGAGATGGTGGGTTCATCTGTGAGTGGTTTCTGCCTAAAAACAAGTGATATTAACATTGATGTTGTTATGGAAGAGAACCTTAATCCATCTACTGCTCTGTTAGCAGTAAAAGAATTAGTTGAAAAATGTGACATATACAGGTAAATGTTCAAGTGTTTTGTATGAAATAATCACTGTAGAATTTTAATTTGCAGAAGAGTTTTGTATCCTGGTTTGAAATATCACTTTAAGATTCATTAGATGAAGATACCGATGCCATCAGAATTACCAATACCACTGATACTGATTTCTTTGGCATGCTTAGAATTACAGTATCTGGTAAATTTGGCCTAAATATTTCTCATGAATTTCATATGGTAGTTATGACTTGGCTTTATTCTTCTACATATTTAATTTAGCATACAGTGGTATTGAATAAAATATGAAACAATGTAAACTATGTGCATTTAACTTCCAAAATGTTTTAACTTTTTTCCAGAGATGTAATCAATGATCTGTCATCATCTTTCCCAACTATGTCCTTCACTCATGCCAAGACCAATTTGCGTATGGTAGTAGGGGCAAGTACTACATCTTCCAAGCTTACTAATCAGTTATTGGCTGATTATGCTTCCTTGGATCCACGGGTGCCAATCTTGGGTGTGGCTTTCAGATACTGGGCTCAGGTATGATATTTTAATATTGATTTTAAAGTTAATGAATATTTTTGTTTTAAATTTATTTTAGTATCATTTGATACTGTTTTTTTTTTTTTCAAGTCGGCCATCTCTCACTAAGGCAGGGTGATCCAAAAAGAATGAAAATCCCCAAAAAAGAAAATACTTTCATCATCATTCAACACTTTCACCTCACTCATACATAATCACTGTCTTTCCAGAGGCACTCATATGCAACAGTTTAGAAGTCCCTCCAAACTGTTAATATCCAGACCCCTCCTTTAAAGTGCAAGCATTGTACTTTCCATTTCCAGGACTCAAGTCCGGCTAAATCTGTAATAACCGGTTTCCCTGAATCCCTTCACTAAATATTACCCTGCTCACACTCCAACAGCTCGTCAAGTCCCAAAATCCATTCGTCTCCATTTACTCCTATCGAATTAAAATTTTTGCTCTATCAATACTGCATAATATATATTACATTGCTGTAAAAATCTGTAGAGTTGTATAAATTCCCCTGATTGCAAGAGTAAATATGTTTGTATGTATGGTGTAACTCTGGGCCCACTAATTTAGATTAACTTGACAGCCAGAGGCATGTTGGTAATTCCCCTTATGCACAGGAGGAGTTTGAAGAGTCGGGAACCTCTGACACTTTTGGGATATAAATTCAAGGAAGCGCCAACTCAGAATTATGAATTTTCAATTAGGGATGGGATGATACCAAAATTTTTACCAGCATTGGTATTCAGTCTCAGGCCGATGCTGATACAGGTGTGCCATCACAAATCCAGCATGATTGGGACCTGTAGTGTGCTGGATTACTGAGTTTGCCAGATTACAGAGTGGTTAGGTTAGAATACACTTAATAAAATTAACCAACTTGACTTACTCAAGAAAGTTCATTGCACATCGGCAAAAATCGAACATTTTCGCTAATTTGAGCTCAATTTCAAGGTACTTTTCGCCGTGAAACCAATCAAAATCATATCTATTTCTGTAATATATCTTCCATGCTATCAAATGAGACCAAAAAAACAAGAATGCAACCATAAAAATCATATGAAAATGTACAGCAAAGAGGCGGCTAATGACTGAGAAGTGAACTCCCTTATTTATCATCCGTTTTTATTTTTCATTTTTGGTGTAGGTTAAGAAGCATCTTTCCGTCATACATTGCCCAAGTTTCAATAAGATAGCCCAACAAACAACTGAGAAAAAAAATATTTACCAAATATCATATATGGCAAGCCCAAGCCAGGTACTGGAAATAAATCACTTTGTCTGACTTTTTTGGGTTATCCTAGGTTCTCTATACATATGCAGCTATGTATGATAATCTATGTAACTGTATTTGTGTATACCTGAATAAACTTACTTATTTACTTACTTCTGTCGACTGAGTACAAGAAACCGCCCATTCACCAATTTCAACTACCCAATAAAGTGGTCAGAAATTGGCAACTTTGCTAATTTCACACAAATTTCAACAGATGCCAATTTCAAAATAGGGTCCAGAATAAACAATGCAGACATTCCTGGCACTAAAACAACATTTTCTCTGTTTATTAGTCACGACTCCAGGCCCCTCTTATATTACTCTTGCTTACCATTTGGAATTTTTGTTCACACAAAAAATGTTATGCAGAAAATTCAGAGTGTGGAAATTAGGAGAAGGTGTGGAGTTAATAAAAGTATTAGTCAGAGGGCTGAAGAGGGGTTGTTGAGGTGGTTTGGTCATTTAGAGAGAATGGATCAAAGTAGAATGATATGGAGAGCGTATAAATCTGTAGGGGAAGGAAGGCGGGGTAGGGGTCGTCCTTCGAAAAGGTTGGAAGGAAGGGGTAAGGGAGGTTTTGTGGGCGAGGGGCTTGGACTTCCAGCAGGTGTGCATGAGTGTGTTTGATAGGAGTGAATGGAGACGAATGGTATTTGGGACCTGACGATCTGTTGGAGTGTGAGCAGGGTAGTACTTAGTGAAGGGGAAGTGGAATAAGAATTTTTCCTCCTTAAGCCATGCGTGTTGTAAAAGTCAACTAAAATGCCGGGAACAATGGGCTAGTAACCCCTTTTCCTGCAAAGATTACTAAAAAGAATAATAAGAAAATTGTCAAAGTGGGAAGTCTGAATGTGCGTGGATGTTGTGCAAATGATAAGAAAGAGATGATTGTGGATGTTATGAATGAGAAGAAGCTGGATGTCCTGGCTTTAAGTGAAACAAAGGTGAAGGGGGTGGGAGAGTTTCAATGGAGAGGAATAAATGGGATTAGGTCAGGGGTTTCAAATAGAGTTAGAGCTAAAGAAGGAGCAGCAAAAATGTTGAAGGATAAGCTATGGCAGGAAAAGAGGGACTGTAAATGTATAAATTCAAGGCTTATGTGGAGTAAAATAAAGATTGGATGTGAAAAGTGGGTTATAGTAAGTGTGTATGCACCTGGAGAAGAGAGAAGTGTAGAGGAGAGAGAGAGATTTTGGGAAATGTTGGGGGAATGCGTGGGGAGTTTTGAATCAAGTGTGAGAGTAATGGTGGTTGGGGATTTCAATGCTAAAGTGGGTAAAAATGTAATGGAGGGAGTAGTAGGTAAATTTGGGGTGCCAGGGGTAAATGTAAATGGGGAGCCTTTAATTGAGCTATGTGTAGAAAGAGATTTGGTAATAAGTAATACATATTTTATGAAAAAGAGGATAAATAAATATACAAGGTATGATGTAGCACGTAATGAAAGTAGCTTGTTAGATTATGTATTGGTGGATAAAAGGTTGATGGGTAGGCTCCAGGATGTACATGTTTATAGAGGGGCAACTGATATATCGGATCATTATTTAGTTGTAGCTACAGTTAGAGTAAGAGGTAGATGGGAAAAGAGGAAGGTGGCAACAACAAGTAAGAGGGAGGGGAAAGTGTATAAACTAAGGGAGGAGGAAGTTCGGGTGAGATATAAGCGACTATTGGCAGAAAGGTGGGCTAGTGCAAAGATGAGTAGCGGGGGGGGGGGGGGCATTGAAGAGGGTTGGAATAGTTTTAAAAATGCAGTATTAGAATGTGGGGCAGAAGTATGTGGTTATTGGAGGGTGCTGGCAGGAGGAAAGAGGAGTGATTGGTGGAATGATGAAGTAAAGGGTGTGATAAAAGAGAAAAAGGTAGCTTATGAGAAGTTTTTACAAACAGAATTGTTATACGAAGAGCAGAGTATATAGAGAGTAAAAGAAAGGTAAAGAGAGTGGTGAGAGAGTGCAAAAGGAGAGCAGATGATAGAGTGGGAGAGGCACTGTCAAGAAATTTTAATGAAAATAAGAAAAAATTTTGGAGTGAGTTAAGTTAAGAAAGCCTAGGGAAAGTATGGATTTGTCAGTTAAAAACAGAGTAGGGGAGTTAGTAGATGGGGAGAGGGAGGTATTAGGTAGATGGCGAGAATATTTTGAGGAACTTTTAAATGTTGAGGAAGAAAGGGAGGTGGTAATTTCATGCACTAACCAGGGGGGTATACCATCTTTTAGGAGTGAAGAAGAGCAGAATGTAAGTGTGGGGAGGTGCGTGAGGCATTACGTAGAATGAAAGGGGGTAAAGCAGCTGGAACTGATGGGATCATGACAGAAATGTTAAAAGCAGGGGGGGATATAGTTTTGGAGTGGTTGGTACTTTTGTTTAATTTAATATATAAAAAGAGGGGAAGGTACCTAGGGATTGGCAGAGAGCATGTATAGTCCCTTTATAAGGGAAAGGGGACAAGAGAGATTGTAAAAATTATAGGGGAAAATAAGTTTACCGGTATACCGGGAAAAGTGTACGGTAGGGTTATAATTGAAAGAATTAGGGGTAAGACAGAATGTAGGATGGGGGATGAGCAAGAAGGTTTTACAGTGGGTAGGGGATGTTTTAGATCAAGTGTTACATTGAAGCATATATGTGAACAGTATTTAGATAAAGGTAGGGAAGTTTTTATTGCATTTTTGGATTTAAAAAAGGCATTGATAGTGGATAGAGGAGCAAGGTGGCAGGATTTTGCAAGATATGGAATAGGTGGCAAGTTACTAAATGCTGTAAAGAGTTTTTATGAGGATAGGGAGGCTCAGGTTAGGGTGTGTAGAAGAGAGGGAGATTTACTTCTCGTAAAAGTAGGTCTTAGACAGGGAATGTGTAATGTCCCCCATGGTTGTTTAATATTTTTATAGATGGGTTGTAAAAGAAGTAAATGCTAGGGTGTTCAGGAGAGGGGTGGGATTAAATTTTTGGGGAATCAAATTCAAAATGGGAATTGACACAGTTACTTTTTGCTGATGATACTGTGCTTTTGGGAGATTCTAAAGAAAAATTGCAAGGTTAGTGGATGATTTTTAGAATGTGTGTAAAGGTAGAAAGTTGAAAGTGAACATAGAAAAGAGTAAGGTGATGAGGGTATCAAATGATTTAGATAAAGAAAAATTGGATATCAAATTGGGGAGGAGGAGTATGGAAGAAGTGAATGTTTTCAGATACTTGGGAGTTGACGTGACGGCGGATGGATTTATGATGGATTTATGATTGTTTCAGGCCCCTCTCTGAAACTGTCATTCTATGTCGACAAATATTAAAAAAAAAAAAAATTATTTTTTCTTATGAAAATGTTAAGATTATTTTTCTGAGTATTTTAGTCCCCAAAAAAAATTTTTGCCATCGGTACTTACCGAGATATAGAGCCGTGAATTTTGCAGAAAAGGGCCGTTTTTGGCCAGCGGGACTCCCGGGCCACCCTCCCCCGGGTTAAATTTTTTATTTTTACTTGTAATTGAAAGGTTTTTTGTTTTTTTTTTTCACTATTTTTTTTTTTTCAATAACTTTTTTGGGGCCTATGAGACCAAAGTAAGGTGAAAATGAAACTTTTATCCCTCGTTGTTTACAACCCCAATAAGCACACAAAAAAAAATTTTTCAATATATTTTTTTACAAAATTTGGTTTACAAAAACAAACAACCCTCCTCCTCCTCCTCCCCCCCTCCTCCTCCCCCTTTCCCCTCCCCCCTTTTCCCCT